TCTGTCCGAGAGACAATGCAGCAGGTTGGAAGGAGGATGCAATAAGAATGTCTCTGCTGATTGCGAGACCTTTACCCGACGTTCCCATCTCTCAGGAGCATCGTCCCTAGAAACCCACTGGAAAGGCACAGTGAGTTTTTTTCTGTGGCCTGAGTGGGTTCCGAGCCGCTGCCCGGTGGAGAATAGACAGCTGCAGGCCCCAGCGCATCTAACACCCTAAAGGCCAAAAACGAGATGGGTTCGCCGGGCGGTAAAGACACAGTAGTTCCTATCGGGCCTGGCTTTGCAAATTGAGTCTTTGCCATGCCCCACTTTCTTTATCCAGAACATCCCGTTTGGATTTTCTGGGGTTTGGACTTGTATTCAAAGCCAAAAGAAGACGACTTTCGAGACTCAAAAGTTGTAATGTACTGGAGGGAAGAGAAGCAAAGTACAGTATTGCCTGTGACTTCCCTGTCGGGGAATTGAACCCTAGTACTATACTAACGAGGATAATGGCAGCGCGGTATGGCAGTGGAGAACATGGAGTATATTTTGATACTTTTTTTTTTTTTTTTTTTTAAGACAGAGCCTCACTATGTCGCCCTCAGAAGTGTGCTGTGGCGTCACAGCTCACTGCAATCTCAAACTCTTGGGCTTAAGCGATTCTCTTGCCTCAGCCTCCCAAGTAGCTGGGACTACAGGCCCCCGCCACAAAGCCTGGCTATTTTTTGTTGTTCTTCTTGCAGCTCTCATTGTTGTTTAGCTGGCCCAGGCCAGGTTCAAACCCTCCAGCCTTGATGTATGTGGCTGGTGCCATAACCACTGTGCTACGGACACCAAGCCAGAAACTTCTAATTTAAAAAAGAAAAAGAAAGAAAGAAAGCGTTTTCTCCCCCAGATTGAACCCATTAGGAAGTTTCAGGGGACTTTTGAAGATGGAGGAGGGAATCAGGAGGGAAAGATCAGTACTCCTCCTGGGATGAGTACCAATGAGAAAGAGGAGGTCCAATTTGCTGGTAGAGAGATCAGCTGTACTGGGAAGGTGATCAGTCAAGGAAAAAAGGGAAAGTTTGAAGAAGTGGGCAACAAATGACTTCCACTGTGTAAAATAAAACTGTCCCCCAAAATGAGCCTATTTCATAACCCCAGAAGAGAGAAAAGCTGTCAGCTTTAAATTCATTCATTCTCAGAGTCTAAGCTGGCCAGGCTTGAATGGCAAAGTGGAAACATTTCAGCCAATGGCCTGCAACACAGAGGTCTTTATCCTGGAAGGAAAAAGTGGGCTGGCTTGTTCAGAGACTGTCTTGTCTGGGCTTCTCCAACCTTTTTCAGCACTCAGCAACCTCAAGACCTCACCCACCCTAGAGTTGCAGGTATAGCTCTAAAGCAGGCTATGAAGGTTACCATAGCATCACACTAGCACAGTTCCAATGTTATTCACTTGTTTTCAGTTAATCTCTTCAGAGAGGTTCAGGCATAGAGGAACTTATGTATGCATTACCAATTGTATATATACACTAAAGCATATCCATTTATGTTCAGTAGCTTAGTTTGAGAATCTTTGAAAGTAGAATCAGACCTTAAAGTAATGACTTAAATAAGCATTGTGGAGTGGAGGAATGATTATGACCCAATAATCATTGGGTACTAAAAAAGCAAGCTATAGGGCAACATTTATTATATGATCCAAACTGTGTGGCTAGGTGTGGTGGCTCATGCCTGTAATCATGGCACTCTGTGAGGCCAAAGCTGTGGTGATTCCCTGAGCTCAGGAGTTCTAGACCAGCCTGAGCAAGACCCTGGGGAAAAAAATGGAAAAATCTACCAGCCAGGCATCATGGCAGTCCCCTGTAGACCCAGCTACTGGAGAAGCTGAGGCAAGAGGATGGCTTGAGCCCAAGAGTTTGAGGTTGCTATGAGCTATGATGCCACAGCACTCTACCCAGGGCAACTGAATGAAACTGTCTCAAAAAAAAAATACTATATACTAATATAAAGGTCTATACATGTTGACCTTTAGTCAACTACCTGTACCGTCACATCCTTGAACAAATCATTTCACCTTCCTGGGCTAACAGTCTCTTCAGTTGAACTATATTATTTCAAAGGACTTTCCAAGTTTAAAAGTCTCTGATTTCAAATCTTAAAGAATCTACTGATTCCACAAATATTTATTGAGTGATTTATCATATACCAGTAGGCTAATAAACATACCATATACCAGCCTGCTGACCTAGGCTCTGCATGTATGGTAGTGAACAAAACAGACAAAGGCCTCTCCAAGAACTCTTATTCTCATGGGATGGGGAGTCAGACAAAAAAAAAAAAAAAATTCAATGAGTAAACATGTAATACCTAAGTTAGTGATAAGTACAATGGAGAAAATAAAGCAGGAAAAGGGGATTGGGAGTATGGTAGGGGAGTAGGTTATACAGAATGATCACATCTAAGTATAGACCTAAAGGACATAATGAAGCACAACGTGGGTAACTCTAAGAAAGAACATTCTGGAAACAGAAAATAATGTAGGCTCTGGTCAGAGCATAATTAGTGTGTTCAAGTAAGAGAAAAAGTGACCAAGTATAAGCAAGAAGAGCGTTAGGAGATGAAGTCAGAGAGAGGAGTAAGATCATGTAGAGTCTTATAGAAGATTGGAAAGGCTTTAGCTTTTAGTCTAAGTGCAGAGGGAAGCTATTATATGGTTTTGAGCAAAGAAATAACAAATATAACACATATGTGAGAAATATCACAGTGGCTGTTGTGGTGAGAAGAGACTGTAGGATGGCCAGGGGCAGCCAGTCAGGGGGGGCTATGTGGCAATCCAAATGAAAGTTAATGGTGCCTTGGACCAGAGTAGTAGGAGTAGAGGACCAAGAAGCAGTCAGGTTGCTACATGTATTTGAATGTAGAAGTCGGATTTACTGAGGTTTTGTATGTTTGACAAGCCTCTGTCTAGGGCCTGGAGGCAAAAGAGCGCATGAAGGCTCCTTTGAATCTTTAGAAATTAATAGAAACTATCCAACAAAGGAAGCCACTAAACAGAGAATGCAAGAGAAGTTTTGTACAATGAGGCTGTGTCTCAGGAAAATGAAGCCTCTTCAAGGGCACTCACCAACTCCTCAAGGAGGCCATTAGTCATGTATCTAACCTTCTAGCAGTCACTTCTCTGAGAAGGCCACATCATTCTGGTAACTACGCTGGGAGAACAGCAGAGTGGGAAGAGTCAGCATTAAAGCTCAATCATTGAAGATTGATTTCCTAGGAATTTGTGTTGCAAAACAAAGTGTTTTACTTGCCATAGGAGCAGGGGGAAATAAAACATGGAAACCAGAATACAAGTTCAGGTTTATTGGAAGAAGAGTATTCAGTTTTAAGAATAGGAGAACTCACCCTACACTCCAAATCCCCATCTCTCTTCTCCCTCACATCCTATCCATTACCACCTTCCCAAGATTCTTATCATTCAGAAACCATTCAATTTATAATCAACCAATATAGCCTTGAAAAGGCAAACTGAATTTTGTTTTTTTGTTTTTTTGTTTTTTGAGACAGAGCCTCAAGCTGTCCGCCTGGGTAGCGTGTCATGGCATCACAGCTCACAGCAACCTCTAACTCCTGGGCTCAAACAAGTCTCCTGCCTCAGCCTCCCAAGTAGCTGGGACCACAGGTGCCCACCACAACACCCGGCTATTTTTTGGTTGCAGCCGTCATTGTTGTTTGGCGGGCCCAGGCTGGATTCAAACCTGCCACCTTAGGTGTATGTGGCTGGCGCCTTAGCCACTTGAGCCACAGGTGCCAAGCCAGAATTTTGTTATTATTATAACAGAATTTTGTTATTATTATAATTTTGTTATTTGTTATATTAACATTTTATTGTAGAAGTTAATATGTGATTTTGTGGAAGAAGAAAATATAAAAAGCACTGATAATTCCATCACTCTAGAGTACCCATTTTTAATTTGCTGATATAGGTTAGTCTAACATTTCTGAAATCATGTATATTTACATAACTGTTCTCTTCATCTCCACTGAAATCCAAAGAAAGTTTAAATAAAACATAATTGTTCTCATATAACCTGTAATAAGCATTTTCCATGTTGTTACAATCTCTTAATAGCAGTAATTTTACTCATTTTATTAGGTGTGTGGATGTATAATAGAAGTCTCGATGTCAAGAAGTGCTGAGGCACAGAAGGTGCAGTTAAGTCATCTGGGACCCTGTTGTCTGTGGCTTCAGGACAGGAAGCTTCAGGCAGAACTTAAGTAGATTACTATGGAAGAGTCCTCTTTGGAACGGCAGCTTCCTCTTGTCCTTGCCTCTCTGATTCTCTTCCCAAATCCCAGGGCAAGACAATGGAGACTAAATGAGGTTCTTGTACTTGTGCTGTTTCTTTCTCTGGATGCTTCTTGTGCATGAGAAGTGAATGGGTGATTGCATTCTCAGCTGAGAGAAAGCAGAAGCAACCGTGAAGATCCCTTGGGTGGGCACATGGCATAACATTAATCTTGGCTTATCGTGGTTAACCATGTCGATGTTGTTAAGGAAGAGTCAGGTAGATGTTATTATCATCAGTGGGTGCACCATGTTTCAGAGTCATGTAGCCAGCGTCAGCAATTTCATAGTCGTTGCTGGTTCCCTCAGGTTTTCCGATCCCATCATCAGTTTCATAGTCATTACTAGTTCCCTCAAGTTGTCTGGTCCTGATGTCACTTATTTGACATGGAAGTGGCTGCCGGAAAACATTTAAAACCCTTAAGACTAAAATAAACCAGGCACCAGGGAAATAAACACAATAACTAGCAGGAGAATAATAGCCAAGGATTGAAAAATTCCTTTGAATGAAGATTCTTAGGCCAAGATTTAACCAACTGAAAAAAATGAATGGAGGAGATGGTCCTTACTTGATGAAAAACTCATCTTTGTTTTTTAAAGTCTTGAATTTGGGGCAATAATTTCTTTTTTTGAGACAGAGTCTCACAGTCTCACTGTCACCCTTGGTAGAGTGCATGGCATTATAGCTCACAGCAACCTCAAACTCTTGGGCCGAAGTGATTTTCTTGCCTCAGCCTCCCAAGTAGCTGGGACTACAGGCACCCACCACAATGCCCACCTACTTTTTTTTTTAAGCAACAAGGTCTTGCTCTGGCTCAAGCTGGTCTTGAACCCTGTGAGCTCAAGCAATCCACCCATCTCGACCTCCCAAGTGCTAGGATTACAGGCGTGAGCCAGTAATTTCTATTTTATTAACATAGAAAAAACATTTTTTATCAATGTTAAACAAAGATTATAGGGGGTCATTGCTTTGGATTAAGCTCCAACAAAATAAGCTAAATATCAAAATCGGGGTCACCCGTCCTAACGTTCCAAGTCATCAAACCTAACTAAGTTGTTATCTGGCCTAGGGAGAATTCACAAGAAAGACAGAGGATGGCCTCCTTTCCCAAATGGGCCAGTCTGAATCAGCATGGTAATTAAGGCCCCACTGTTTTATTCCTTACAAAAAAGTAACTTGAGGAAAGCTGATGTTAATTGTTCACAGTTAATTGTTCTGTTTACCTGTTCCCACCATACAGGGAAAGTAATTTTGAAGTGATCAATCCACTGTTTCTCCTTTCTTCAGCCCTTTTTTTGTGTAAAGCTAGTCTCCTCTGCTTGACTCATTGGGACATGTACTCTAAGAAACCAAGTGCTGCCCACTTCTAGAATCAAAATAAAGCCAATTGAGCCAGGCAAGGTGGCTCACACTGTAATCCTAGCACTCTGGGAGGCTGAGGCAGGTAAATCCCTTCAGCTCAGGAGTTCAAGACGCGCTTCAGCAAGAGTGAGACTCCATCTCTACTAAAAAAAAATAGAAAAACTTCATGGGCGTTGTGGCAGGCATTTATACTCCCAACTATTTGGGAAGCTGAGGCAAGAGAATTGCTTGAGCCCAAGAGTTTGAGGTTGCTGTGAGCTATGATACTATGGCACTCTACCCAGG